GCATAGATTTAGCCATATAATACGCAATGCCAAAAGTTGAATCGAATCGATTCAAAATTCACAGTGCCCTTTTCGCATCTCGACCATTTATAAACCGAATTGCAAACTTTTTTACTTATAAAAGTATTTGAATGAAATTTGATACATAGGCACTTGGAATAAAGGAAAATCAAACGCCAATTTCAAAATTTGGTTTTGCGCATGCGCAGTGCCAACTTTTTTATTTATGGAAGAATTTAAACGAAATTTGATACATAGGCACTTGGGATAAAGGAAAATCAAACGCCAATTTCAAAATTTGGTTTTGCGCATGCGCAGTGCCAACTTTTTTATTTATGGAAGAATTTAAACGAAATTTGATACATAGGCACTTGGGATAAAGGAAAATCAAACGCCAATTTCAAAATTTGGTTTTGCGCATGCGCAGTGCCAACTTTTTTATTTATGGAAGAATTTAAACGAAATTTGATACATAAGCACTTCGAATAAAGGAAAAATCAAACGCCAATTTCAAAATTTGGTTTTGCGCATGCGCAGTGCCAACTTTTTTATTTATGGAAGAATTTAAACGAAATTTGATACATAGGCACTTGGGATAAAGGAAAATCAAACGCCAATTTCAAAATTTGGTTTTGCGCATGCGCAGTGCCAAGTTTTTTATTTATGGAAGAATTTAAACGAAATTTGATACATAGGCACTTGGGATAAAGGAAAATCAAACGCCAGTTTCAAAATTTTATTTTGCGCATGCGCAGTGCCAACTTTTTTTTTATGGAAGAATTTAAACGAAATTTGATACATAGGCACGTGGGATAAAGGAAAATCAAAGGCCAATTTCAAAATTTGGTTTTGCGCATGCGCAGTGCCAAGTTTTTTATTTATGGAAGAATTTAAACGAAATTTGATACATAGGCACTTGGGATAAAGGAAAATCAAACGCCAATTTCAAAATTTTATTTTGCGCATGCGCCGTGCCAACCTTTTTATCTATGGAACTATTTAAGTGAAATTTGATACTTAGGCGCTTGGAACAAAGGAAAATCTTAGTTTATTAGTTAGTCATAGTAAATTAGTTTTAAAATTTAGGTTTGCGCATGCGCAGTTCCAACTTTCTTATTTACAAAAGCATTGAAATGAAATTCTTCTCATAAACTGAAATTGAAGTAGCACGTCAAAAATGGATTGCCCATGTGCAACGCTATCTTTCATATTTGTGGCCGGATTTTACGATTTTAACAGAAGTTGCATCTTACAAATGGGAAATGAATGCAAGTGGAAATGCGCTTTATGTAAATCGTTTACGATTACTTTTTAACTTGTTAACTCTTGGCTAAGCATTTTTAGCACATTATTATTGGATGGATCATTTCGTTTGGATATCCAGGGCCTACTCCATAAGCGTTTTGGTTTCTTTTTTGTTTTCAGCTTGTATGCCGCAAGCATTGTAAAACACACAGCAGCGCATGCTACTATCACAAAATCGTCTTCCATCAAACACAAAACTTTTCTAATATGAAACTAAAGAAACGTACACTGACAAACACATACAAATAACATAAACAAAAAGCATATGATCGCGCTTTTAGCCGCCATTATGAAATTACATGTTTAAAGCTTTTGTGCAGAAATTGGCGCATTTCTGGTACAAGAAACTGTCGGTGACACAGATTCTTGCATCGTTTCTGATATAAGAAACTATACGCTTATATGACACTATACATTTTTTTCTTGTATGAGAAACGATATTAGAAATAATGTAAGAAAATGTATAGTGCCATACGGGCTTTATGCCTGATACAAATTTAAGTAACAATATGCGACCTTCCAGGAGTATTTTGTTCGTACTGTATGTAAGAAAACCAATCATGATATTGCGTATAAAAGAGCGGATATTTTTTTAAAAGGTGTTACAAATTATTTTATTGTCTAAATTTTTTTACATTAAATTAACTATTACTATTCACATCATCGTGTATCATATTCAGTTGCCAGGGCACCGCTCCATGTCCGTAAAAATATTCGGCATATTCATTACGCACAGTAGATGCTAATGTTGAATAGTTACGACTTTCTAAATTAACGTGCAAATTAACTAGACCATTCGCTTCAGTACTGTCTGTTCTCCAAGAACCCGGTATAATACGCCTAGTGTTTAGATCTTCAGTATCAAAAGAACCTGTTGGTGTATATTTTTCACCGGAACTCATTTATAACCAAACCAAACCTTGTTAATTCCAACCGCTATAGGTCGTTCAAACACTCTGAATCTAGAAACCAAAATTCCAAACGCATTTTCAACAATGCGACGAGCTCTTGATAACCGATAGTTGAAGATTTTCTGTTTTCTAGATAAATGAGTAGTTCTTCCACAGGGTTTTAAAATATAGGGTCTTAAGGGGAAAGCATCATCAGCTACGAATACCCCTCCTTTGGGAAAATGTAACGTATTTCTCACTTTTTCTAATGCTGTATTGAACGATGATTTTGCAAAAACTGCAGCATCGTTTGCTCGTCCATTTGTGCCTACGTCGGAATGGCGAAAGCAATAGTTTGCATCAATGCACGCAAACAAAATTATGCCGTATGTGCCCTTGTAATTGAAATATCCACTGTGAGTATTGAAATTAGTTAGTTTAGTTCAAGTGTGCGTGTGCTAGTTGTCAGTCAGTATCAATGCAATGTCAGTTTATAGTTTTTCAATGCCATCGAAAGTAAAATTCCCTCTGAATTATCTTCCACTCTTCTTCATTTTGTGGCACCTGTAACAAAAATATTTTTCACATTTTGCTGAACATTTAATTCACTGTACTAATATGAAATATTTTAATAAAGTTCTATTTCTCTTTTAGAATTCACAACATGATGAAGCTGAAAGCGAAACCATCGAATTTGCAGGAGAAAGAGAAACAGAAAATGTGTTTCCTGCATCAACGTCTGCATCCATTACTACTGGCAATGGTAACACCCAGAAAGAAGCGATACATGTAGATATCACAAAAACTGCCAATTCGCTTACTACAAAGCAATCAAAGACAACTGTCTTTCGGGCTCCTCAGAACCGCAAACGGAAAATAGCAGAAAATGAAAATATTTCAAATATAAGCGCAGCAATTGACAAACTTGATGAAGTAGTGCAGAAAAATACAAGTAATGTTGACAGCTAAGACAGATGCCTCTTTACGATGCTATCATCTGCCAGGAACAAATTCAAAGTATAGTACGACAAAAGCGATTGCAGCTCTTCTTGTTAGTGAGTCAATCCGAGTCTCGCACAACTCCATCGTCAGTGCGTCAACCTTCTGAGTATTATTACCACGCAACTCCACCACCAGCGTTTTCACCTTCTGAGTATCATTCATCTCCGTCACCAGGGCCATCAAACAACATGGACCCAGAACATTCTTCGTCTTCATTTTCAAACGAATCATGCAATAGACAATGCTGTTAGAATACACTGTTTAATTATTTACAAACCTATAGCTATAAGTTAATTACTGAAGATCAAAGTGTGTGTGTGTGTGTGTGTGTAAAATAATAGATGTAAGTTTTTTATCTGTCATTGTGTACCGCATTTTTGTAATTTGTACTTATTTAATTGTTCCTGTTGAATTAATATAAATGTTGGTTCTTCACTGTTTTCCACATTAAACCTAACAAATGCGGAGATGATTCGCAGGAGTCATCTGATATACTTACTACAGCTCTAACAGGTGTCTTAGGCTTACAATAGACTACATTTTATATTACCTACTTTTGTTTACCAAATTTTTATACGTACCTTAATAAAACCTTGTAATGTATCGTATATTGCTGTAGACACTTCTCCCAGAAAATTTGAAATGGTATTTTTTGGTACCGATATACGGAAGCAAGCGTTGCAAATGAATCCCCTGTAGCTAAATAGCTTAAAGTAACTTGCAGCTTTAATCTAGGTGAGATTGCTTGTCGCATCACTGTATCTTGTTTTTTATGACATCCTGCACTTTTGAAAGCATCTCTGCCGTGTTCATTCAAAAGGGCGTATCTGCAAAATTTACTCAAATTGAGTTATACGTATTTTCGCCTTCCTTACAGTCATAACAATATGTATGTTACGATGGAAAGGCGTATCTTTTTACTGTAGAGCGAATTTTTAGTTTTAAAGAATGGACGTATCTTCAAACAGGCCTATTCTGTTAAATTAAAAAGTCGTATGTGATTTTGTTAGTTGAAATGGTCGTATCTGATTGTGTTGTTAAACGAAATGGGCGTAACTTTACATTTCATATTCAGATACGCCTTTATACTCTAACATAAGTGGCATGCGCAGGTTAACAATAAATGTGAGGTTATGCTTAGAAATTACGCGCGTGAACTAACCGTAAATTGTGTTGTGGGTTTAGTGTGATCAGTGATACATATTTGTTAGTTTTATTATGAATAGAGGAAAGTTTCTTGTGTCTTTGGCTCTTGATAAACGCCAGAGAGACTCAGTGGAGAGTTGTAAAAATACACACCAACTTCGTGTAAACAAATCTACCGACGAAGAGTTAGATCCTGACTATGATCCCACTGAAGAGTATAATTCTACTGATCAACCTTCTGAATTTGATGATGATCGTAAAAGGATGGTAAGCAAATATAATAAATATACTCGTATGTAGATAAATCTCTTAATGGTTTATATGTAATTCATTCAGACTTTCGTACCAAATCAGAAGAATCTAGAAAAATTAATGTCATAAGTATTATCCTTATACCTGCGCCTCCAACTGTATCTGCCGCAAAGACTGAAGTTTATGATATCGTGAAGGAAATATTTCAACAAATTCTCAGTAATGTAGAAAATGTTGTCGTGTCACATACGAGGGTGGATTGATATAAAGCTAGCCTTTGATAGATGGCGTTACTTGATACCGAATTGCTCTCGGTTTTGACATTTACCATTCATGACACGACCTCTGTCAAAATTTTAAGCCAAAAAAACTATTAGTTTAGTTTTTACAGCCGTCAGAAGAAAAATGGAAATAATCGAGTATCGTTCGGTGATTAAGTTCCTCCACAAAAAGGGGAAAACGAATGTGCAAATCAAAGCCGACCTGGACGAAGTATATGGTGAGGCTGCACCTTTGTTAGCAACAGTAAAATTTTGGAAAGCTGAATTTGTTCGTGGGCGGACGAGTGTTTTTGATGATGAGCGTCCCGGGAGGCCAAATGAATTCACCACGCCAGAAATGATCAACAAAGTCCATGACATGTTTATGGCAGATCGTCGAATCAAGCTCCGCGAGTTAGTAGAGGCCCTAAACATTTCCAACGAACGCGTACACTACATCATTCACCACCATTTGGACATGACGGTCGTGGAAAACCAAACCACAAAAAATTTGATCGGCAAATGATTGTTGATCATATTGAGTCCTTCAAACCCAATATTGCTCATTATCGCCGAGAGCACGCGCCCTTAAGAAGATATTTACCAAGTGACATTACAATAAAGCTTATGTATGATGACTTCAAAAAAAAACACCCGAACATAAACTTCTCTTATTGTCTTTATCGGGGTGTTGTCAGTAGCATGAATATCTCATTTTCTAAATTGGGACACGAAGAGTGCTGGTCCTGTTGGTCAATGGCTCATGTCGTTTTCAAAAGAGGCGAAAGAACCATTTCTTACTCTCAAACATTGGATGATGGCAAATTTATTTCGCTTAATTTTTTTAATCACAAGAGCTTTAAAACTGGACTACCTAAGCCTACATGTAGAGATTCATCAAGAGGCATCTCACATGAAAGGAAAAAAACAATTATCTCTAAACTTGGACCAATGTTTCCAGCAAACAGAGTCGCGTTCTGGGAAAACTTGCCATCAAGAGCATCAGATGAAGCTGAAGAGGAAGACAGTGCCTAAATTAGTAACTTTAGTTTTGTAATCAACTGTTCCTTTTGTATACTCTGTATTATAGGTAAGTTGTTAATAAAAGTGTTGTTACTAGGTCCATTGGGTAGGTAATAAAAGCGTTCTCACCATATAAACCCTGCTACTTAAAATGGGCGTATGTGCGAACATTATAGATTATATTAGTCGAAAATGGGGTATCTATCAAAAGTCATATTTGCATTAGAATAACAAATTTCAAGTTCCTGTTAGGATTTAAGGACGTTATTACAACCGGTAACATTTCATCATGGCGTTGCCAAAAAAACAAAAGTCTAATTTCCTCAACTTTTACATTATATATATATATATATATATATATCTTTGAAGAGCTCCTCAAATTTTTCTTCGGACATCCTTAA